CGCATATAACAGAATAAATTTATATATTTAAATCAAATTTAGCGCATATTGCTTCTTTTTATTGGTGTGTACACACTGTTTTCTGCGCAGGCCCAAAACAGCTGATTTGCTAATTTGCTCGGTTGCCGTGCGGTATGTGGGCGTTGCAACCACAAAAATATTAGGCAGTAAAAACACTTGCTGAGTGCAGAGACTGCAGAGACACAATACGAAAATAGCGTCTCGCTAGCGAGAAAAAGCTAAGAAAAATTCTTGTCATCAATAGTGCAGTTCTGCTTAGCCATCAGCCATGTTTCCTTATCTAAGGAGTCAACGCGTCAATTTGCAGCTGCTGCAGGAGACGGCTGCGCGGGAGCTAATGCAGCACCTGGATTCCATCGAAGGCAGCAAGGTTATTGTGCTGGACGAGTCAATGGTTGGACATTTGGAGCTTGTGACCAAGCCAGAAATGTTTACGGATCGTGGAATTAAGCTGGCCGCTTTGAAACCTGAGTCACGCACTCCCAAGGACGTCCAGAACATCATCTATATTGTGCACACTCAGGTCAAGCTCATGGATCAGTTGGCCAAGCACCTAAAGGACAACAATCATCAGGGCCGACAGTATTATATCTTCTTTGTGCCGCGTCGTTCGTGCTTGTGCATTAAGCATTTGGAGAACCTGGATGTGATCCATGCATTCACACATATCTACGAGCTGACCTGGAACTTTTTTCCGCTGGACTCTGATGTTGTTAGCATGGAGATGCCGAATGCCTATCGTGATGTTAGCATCGATGGCGACACCACCGCTCTCTTCCAAGCGTCAATTGGCCTGGTGCAGCTGCAGCGGCTATACGGACGCATACCCAAGATATACGGCAAGGGTGTGATGGCTCAATACGTCTGGGATCATGCCAAGCAGCTGGCAATTGACGAGAAGTCATTGTACAATGGCTATAAGGGTGCCATTGATCAGCTCATCCTGCTGGATCGGGGCATCGACCTACTCAGCCCGCTGGCCACCCAACTAACCTACGAGGGTCTCATCGATGAGTTTTATGGCATTCATCACAATAAGCTGACGCTGCCGGCCGAGCATTTTCCGGCATATACTATTAGCAGCGGCTCCACGGCCGTATCTGAGGATCCGGAACGTTTGATGGGCGATAAGGATCGAAAGACGATTTTCCTTCATTCCGGCAAACCGCTGTACGCGGAGCTGCGCAACAAGAACTTCAATGAAGTGCGCATACTGCTCGCCCGCAAGGTCAAGGACATCCAGGCACAGATGAATGTCAATCGTCAGCAGCAATCCGTGCAGGAGATCAAAAGTTTCGTCGAACGTCTGCCCCAACTCATGGAGGAAAAGAAGGAAACATCGGTGCATACGGCCATCGCCGGACTCATTGACGAACGCATCAATGTCTATTCGTTCAGCGATGACCTGGCCGCCGAGCAGGAGTTCATGATCTGTGCGGACATCGACAGGCCGAGCAATTACATTGACGACCAGATAGCACGCCGTGCCGATCTACGCAACGTGCTCAGATTCATCTGCCTGCAGTGTGCCGCCGCCTCCGGCTTCAAAGAGCGCGTTCTCAACCACTATAAGCGCGAGCTCGCCCAGGTCTACGGCCTGGAGGTGTTGCTCACCATTAGCCATCTGGAGAAAGCTGGTCTCCTGCGAACACAAACCGAGTCGCGGGCGTATGCCGTACTGCGCAAGGTGAGTGTGGAGTAGGGCTAAGGAGTAGCAAGGTGGAGCAGGGAATGCCAGAAAGAAATTGGTAGTAAAAGCAAGAAGTGCATGAAGCAAGGGATGGCAGTAGACAGAAGCAATGGGTGTCAGGAGTGAGGGCTAAAAAGACAAAGTAAGATAAAGAAGTAAAACTAAAGAGTAGAGGTAAGGATTAAAAAGTCGAAATATAAAGAAAGAGATAGCTGGAGCAAGGAACTGGAGCAAGGTGTAATGAAAGCAATACGCAATTGATTAATTTTACTTCACCTCTCCTCACAGACCCTACATCTGACCGTCGATGACAGCGTTGAGATCAATCCGAAGGACATTAGCTATGTGCATAGTTTCTATGCACCGTTGACGGCTCGCCTGGTCGAGCACTCGCTCAGGCCGCTCGGCTGGCAGACGCTCAAGAGTCAGATCAACAACCTGCCCGGGCCCGCCTTCGAGGATTTTCAGCTGCAATTGATTGGCATCGGTGGCCGTCATGCAGGCGGCGCCACGCCCAGCGAGACCTCGCTAATGCACGCCCGGCGCGTGGTGCTCGTCTTCTTTGTGGGCGGCTGCACATTCGCCGAAATCGCAGCACTGCGCTTCCTGGCCGCCCAGGAGGACAACAACGTGGAGTTCGTGATCGCCACCACGAAGGTGATCAATAAGCATTCATTCCTCGACAGCCTGATGAGCTCGTGAAAGAAGCGACTGAGTCGCTTGGAGGCACATCTTCTATCCGTGGGCTGCGGCCTGACGCGCGGACGCAACACCTCCAATCCAATGAAGCCGGGCCAAGCAACGGAGCAGCGCTTAGCGTTCAGATCGGAACAGCCGCTGCCCAAGCATAGCGATTAGAAACGTTTAACGATTCCTCACACACAAATACTATATATTTATATCTCTATTTATACCCCTAAGTGAATTATGATTTTTCGCATACATATGGTACGATCTACATACATATATTCAATATTATATATATATATTCATGTATATTTTATATATGTTTACTTTGTAGGTGCAAAAGCTTTCGAGATCCTTTATAAATGTTTACCAAATATGTATTTACGTAGATATATGTATGTATCAAATGTATATAAGAAACAAATGAACAGAAAGAGAAACAATATTCAAATCTATATTCCAGGCTAACGCTCCTGATGTTAAAAAAAAAAAAATAAAAAATAAAAAAATAAATAAAAAATTATAAATATATGTATATGCAAACATTCCGCGATTACTTGAAACTCTATAAATATAAATAAGTATACATGTGTACATATAAATTGCGATAGACTCTATTTGGACAAATCTTGGCTTGGCCCGTAACGCTGAATATATATGTATATTGTATATTCATATATATGTATAAAACTCTATAGTTTTTGATGCATTATTGTTGAACCTGCCTATGTCTAAGCTAATGGAAATTCTAGATGTCTATATATATACAGCTACAACTTTATTGAGTTCAATAAACAAAAATTGAAAATTCCAATACTCAATGGATCGCTTTGTCTCTATATATGTATATGACAACAACTGAAGAAGCAAAAGCAAAGATAGATAATAGCTAGAATGGATCTACATAGATAGTGTATTACGACGATTCTGATTTTTTCTTTTATTTTTAGCTTATGCAAATTGTTTATAATATTCTTCAGTGCCCTACACTATATATATAAACTATAGTATTTAAAATGCATATGTATATGTATATAGACATATGTATATGATTAATATTTTTCTTTTTTGTATTTTACTTAATAATTTTTTATTTTTTTATTGACGCGTATCAATTTAATTGTTAATCATTTTATCCACTTCAAAAATACATTTTATTAATAATAATAATTAATAAAAAAAAAAAAAACAAATTTTTAAACATAAAAAATATTACATATGTATGTTCCTTCTACTCCGCTCTTTATCTCCCTCTCTCTCTCGCTTATTTCTCTATCTCTGCACTTCTTCTAAATCTGTTTATGAATTGATTTCTTTGCATTTGTTAATTTTAGTATTTGTTTTTTGTTAATGAATTCATGCAAAAGTAACTAGACTTATATATGTATATCTATATAACGATCATCAATGTGTTTCCCAATTGCCAGTGATATTCGCTTGGTAACGGAAAAGAATCTTTGTTTTTTGTTTATCATTTATCATTTTGTTTACTAAAAATGTTATTGCTACAAATTTGTTTTTATATCTTAAGATCGGGGCTTGTGATAGGTGATCAAAATTGGATGTGTGTGTATGTGTTTGTGTATATATATGTATATATATATTTTTTTTATTATATTAAATGTATAAGACAACAAAAAAATAACTCTCACATAAACATAAATTGTAAATTAATTAAACATTTATATGCATTTAATTTTCTATACAATTTTTATTGTTTGTTTTTTCTTTTTGACTAAGCATTTTGCAAATTTGCATTAATTAAGTCTATAATAGGCTTATTTTAGTTGTTGTTTTTGTTTATTTTTAATGTCTGTTATGTTTTATACTTATTTGTTTATCAAGTTTTGTGTATTTTTCTTTTATTTTGTTTATTAGCAAGTCCGTTGGAAAAAAAACGTAACGTATAACGTTCACAAAATTACAAATAAAAAAAAGTCAAAATTTTGGATTTCAACAACATGCAAAAATGGCATCAAGCGCTTTCTCGATCGGTTTCTAAAATAGATTCTTCTTTTGGTTAAGAGAAGTGGGATATCGTTAATCTTGGCTTGATTTCGTTTCTCTCCGGCATTATCCCTCATGGGTTTTGATTTTTCACAGCGGAACGCCTTTATCGATAGCGTTCTCTCGTGTCTTCTCTTTCCTTTCTTTCTTTCTTGCACGAAGTCTGCGGTAGCGAGTCTTCTTGAAACAACGAATCTTTCTTTTCTACTTTCACATCTTTTTTGTTTTTTGTTTTTTTTTTTACACATCTTTTAGCAATGCACGATCGAGTCGTTGAATAACAAAGATTTTAATTAAATTATTATATAATAATATCAAAAGTTCAAAATAAAACTTAAACATTTTGCACACGTGCGTGTCGATATATATACGAGTATATATATATATCATTTTACATATATCAGTATATATGCATCTATAATTTTGTGGGTGATTTGCTTGCTGTTGTTGTTATTGTTTTATGCTTTCGTTTGTGTATGACAATAAAGGCTTACATTTTAATTATGTATTTATGCTGATTTTCCTTTTTATGATATATATATATATATTTAAATATATATATATACATACATTTTCGCTTGTTTGATTTTGTTTAAATTGTGTTAAATGTATTATCATATGGTTGTTGCTTGAATTGATTACGTTAGAATACAAAAACTATTGCAGCTTCATTTTGTGGCAACATTATGCAAAATTTTCATTTGCATTCTTTTCTTTCCTTCTTTGTTTAATTTACTTTAGTTTCATAAATTTTCGACGTATTTTAGTTTAGAATGATGCTACAAAAACAACGAATGCTTCTGCATATATATATATACATAAATATATGTATATATTTATATATAAATTATGCTTTTTGTTATGTTATTTGTAATTGTTATAGTTGCTTGTGTCCGGCTCTATCTGTTACTGTTGTCGCAGTGTTATTTGTTTTAAAATTTCTATTAAAATTATAATAGTTCATATTACTATATGGTTGTTGCTGTTGCTGTTGTTGTTGTTGTTGGTGTTGGTTTTGTTGCTGCTGCTGTTGTTCCCTATGCTATAGCGAACCAGCCGGAAAACTTGTTGAACTATTGCTATGCGCTAAACTAATCATGGAACCCGACAAACTACCCTCCTCATCCGGATAGGTCTCGCGTGATACCTCAGTTAGGGATAAAGTGCTGTAAAAATATCAATACACAATTAGTATATCAAATTATGCATGAAATCACATATAGTTGGCTATACCTGAAACCTAGTGCTATTGACTCATTATCAAAAGCTTCCAATTCTTTAGCATGCTTCTCATGTTTCATGCGCAAACGCTCGGCACGCTCCACATTGAATTGTTGCAATTCGGCATCCATCTTAAATGGAGATACAAATTAAATTTCGATATTCATTGGACTCGCAGAGTTTTTTGCCTGGCTGGCTGGCTAGCTAGCTCTAGATTGCCTACCTTATTCTCCAATAGGCTACGCCGCACGCTAACGCGATTCTCGAGTTCACGACGCTCCCGATCGCGCTGCTCCTGCGCCTGCTTCTTGTTCTTGTTCTGATAGGCTGTGAGCATATCCAGTTCGTATTCCAATTGCTCATTGGTACGTTGGCACTCGATCACTTGACTCTCGTCCAGTTTATAACTTTGACTTTGGAACATGTCGGCAATGCTTTGTTCATACTGCAAATGCAATGTGAATAGATGAGCCATTGGTTATTATATTACATATATGTATGCAATTATTCAGTTTGTCTCACCTGTTCACCCAGCAGCGTGAGCTTGCGATGCTTCTCCTCTTTGAGCTGCTTGATAACCTCCTTCTGTTGCTCTTTGGGTGTCGTCTGCAGCACTTGCGCCTTGTAGCGTTTATATTGTTTTGTTTGCGTTTTGCATGTCTCGCGAAACTGTTTACGTATCTGCAGTTCCTTTTGCTGTTTATAAAGAGTGGATACAGAATGTTAATTGAATTTGAAGTGAATTGAATTTTCAGTTTCCTTTTGTACCTTAAGGCTTTTGGGCTGTTGTCTTAGCTCGAGCGCATGCTTGCGCAGCAGCTCCTTCGTAATGCGTTCCATATAGTCTTTTTGATTGTGCAACTCCGTGTCGTGCTGCTTGTTAATCTGTTTGCAAAGTAAACCGTATTAATATAGACGTACAGCGAACACAATATACATAGATGTATGCGTGAGACTCACCTGCTCCTCGCGCAATTGATGTACGCTCTTCTGCTGGCGATATTCCAACTCCTGTGTCTTTTCGTGGTGTTTCAACAGCATGGCGTGAGCCTGTTCCAGCTGCTGTTGCTTCTTGCTCAGCTCCTGTGAAAAGGGATATGTAGAATTGCGATAAGCGATTATTTGAAGATTTTGAATTTGAAGAATTTGCCTACATCACGTAACAACTGATCCTCCAGTCCGTGCAGCAATATCATGCGTCTTCGCTTGAATTTCCGCATCTCGAGCTCAACAAATTGCTTCTGGGCCTGTATCATGCGCTGCTCCTCTTGGGCCTCGTGCTGCTTTAGATTATCCTTTTGCGATTGCAAAGTTAAATCACGTTGACGCTTTGGCGTTGACTCGTCCATCGACAGTTCGCGTTTCCAGCGCTCCTTGTTCGCTTTGTATTCCTTTTTGCGAGTCGAATCGAACAGCTTGCGATCGTTTTCCTGCTTCAACGTAATCTCTTTATGTAGTTTCTTCTCGGCCGCTGCCGTTTGTTTCGCGCGTCGCTCCAAGTCCTGTTGATGCTTGGCCTGCAACAATTGTGATTCATAATGAGTATATAGATCATTGGGATTTATAATTGCATTTCGATTTTATTACCCCAAGCCGTTCCAATTCTCTGGTGAAGTTATTCAATAGATTATCATACTCTTTGTCCAGCGCTGCTTTGTGCGTCTCCATTTCCACTTTGCACTTCTCCTCGAGCTTCATCAGCGTCGCCTGGTGCTCTCGTCGCATTCGCTTGTATCCGGACATTTGTTCGTGCATCTCCTCCTGCATTCCGCAAAAAGATTTCCAGGCAACACAAATAATAATGTACATATAAAACAAAAGCGTATTAATGGCGTGAAGATATACTTATATATAGATGTATGTGGATGTGTATATATATATCACTTGCAGCAGCATCATTAACACAATTACAAGTACAACAACAACTTACGATAATACTAGTTAACTCCCATTCGTTCTTAACCTCAAAATATGGTAACTTAAAGCAAGGGAAAATCATAGCTAATTGCAAAAAAAAAAACAGATTGCGCGAAAATTGTTTATAACGGCTTGAACGCAATACGAAAACAATACAAACAACAAATGCCAATAAAAAAAAATATCGTAACTTAAGCAATTGCAAATAGCAGCGTCATATAATCAAAGATAAAATGCCGGCGACTACTGTTCAAGCTGTCAAATATCAAGCTGAGAGAGAGCGAGACAGGAAGAGAGTGCAATTGCGAGTTGTGTGTGTGCGTGTGGGCGGAGAGTAGCGAAAAGTAGTGAGGGAAAAAACGGAAAATAGAAGAACAATGCAAGTAGCATAGAACGAAATTAGAACGAAGGCTGTATATGTATCAATGTGTATGTGCGTGTGTGTGTAAATGTGCTTTTGTGCGTGCATGTGGGTGCATTTACTACTAAGGTGCGCAGTCTGCCTGTGTGTGCGTGCGAGTGTGTGTCTGTGTTTTTTTGTTTCTTTGTTTGTTGCACCTAAATTGCAAATAAATCTTCGTAGCATTAAGTTTCTTAAACATTTATTGCTCTATTTATTGTCATGGACTTGACCCACGCACACACACAAGCGCACATACATAAATAAATACATATGTATATGCACACAAGTATGTGAATGTACACTCTAGTTAAATTTAGTTGTTATTTTTTGTGTTTTTCTTCTTTTTTTTTTTTTTTTTTTTTTTTTTTGATTAAGAGATCACACAGGGGCAATGATTAAGAGTTTGGCATTGTTTTGGACTGCTACTATTTTTAGCCTTCTGGAAGAAGCTGTCATCGTGGCCAGCGAAGTCATCAGCATCCGCCTGGCTGCCGCAGCAGAAGCAGGAGCAACAGAAGTTATAGCGCGCCTATTTGTTATGCAGGAGGAGAGTAGAAAGAGAAACAATAAACAACAACAAAGTTTGCATGTAGTAGTGGAGAGCACAACGATTGGAAGATCAAAAAAGAGAAAGAGAGAGAGGGCGAGCAGGCGAGCGAGCAAAAGCAACGGGAAATGACAGCTGTTGTGACTGGGACTATGAGTCGGATAAGGAGGAGCTGCTGAGACAGGAGACATACACACACGATGACAGCAATGAGAGGTGTGAGAGCCAACGATAGATAGTCTGCGTATGGGATCGATTATGTTCACGATATCGATAAATGGCAATGACAATCAGCCCTATTAATTGGACTACGGTTGAAGTCAATTCTAAATTCACACACGCTTACGCACACACACACTCATCATAATGAGCTTTTGTTGTTGCACATATGTATGTATATGCATGTATGTTCTTTGATCATTAACGATTAATAATCGCACTCACCTGCATATGCTCCTTCTGCTGTTTGGTCACAATGCTCGTCGTTCGTATGGTGGCAAAATTATTGGGTCCATGATCGTTGACAGCATTGGAGATGGCCTGCTGGGAGGATGTTGATGTGGCCGCATAGACAGCCGCCTGGGCAGCTGGTGTCGATAGATAACGCGGCTGTTTTCCAGTCAAGCGATGATCACCGCCAGCCGGTGAGCCGCCAGTGCTGCTGCCGCCACCGCCGCCGCCACCGACGCTACTATTGGCATGCCCTAGCGCCACGCCCAGATGCGACATCACCGATAGAGGCGGCGCTGGCGCTGGCGCCGGCACCACCGACGCCGAGTTCGTAGGCGTCACATTGTTGTTCATGGTGTGCATTATGTTTGGCAGCGGCGGCAAGTTGCGATGACGCGACGAATTGCGTGTGACAGCTCCACAGCCAGCGCCGCCCGCCTGCTGTTGCTGCTGTTGTTGTTGCTGTTGCTGCTGCTGGGCATTGGACCAGTGCTGCTTCTGCAGCTCCATCTGATGTTGCATGGCAGCCGCAACGGCAGCCACCTGCTGCTGATGATGAGCTCCGATATGATGGTGATTCTGTGCTGCAGCCGGTATGGAATTCGACGAGGAGCTCTACAGTACAGATACAAATGAAAATCTCGTTAGCGTCATCGATAGTTAAACGATTTGAATCGCAGGACTAGGTCACCTGACTACTGGCCGCCGATACACCCACCGAGTGTATGGAGTGTTCGGAAGTAATACTATTGCTCTTGCTGCTGTCACCGCCAGCATGATCGTCCTGCTGATCATCCGTATCGCCGACAGCGCTCTCTGTTTCGCACGTGTCCACCATGAGTATCTTCTTCATTTTGCGATAGTTAAGGTTGTCCAGCTCGCGCACCGCCGACTTGGTGCGCGCGATCAGCTCCAGCAGCACCGTCTCCGATCTCGGACGGGTCACGTACGCGTGCTGCAGCAATTTGGTTGACGAGGGTCGCTCCGCGGGCATCTTCTTTAGACAGAGGTCCACGAAATTGCAGAACGTGTCCGACCAATCGTTCTTCTGTAAAAGCAAGGATTGGATAATTGACATGGAATCATAAATCGATTGATAATGATTGAATATCGTCTATTGATATCTACACTTCCAATCGATAATTACCGGCAACGTGGGCGACTCGTTCTGTGCAATGTGATACAATGCGGACATGGCATTCATATTGAAGTATGGGGGCTTGCGCTCGGCCAGCTCAATGCAGGTGATGCCCAGAGACCAGACATCCACTTTGCCATCGTACTGGCCCTCATCCATGGCCAGTATCACCTCCGGCGCCATCCAGTAGGGCGTGCCAACAAAGCTATTCGCCGGACACTTAATGGCCGCACTCCCGAAATCGGCCAGCTTCACCACGCCCATGTCCGTGAGTAGAATGTTGCCCGCCTTGATGTCACGATGGATGCGCCCAAGCGAATGCAAATAGCTCAAGCCGCTTAGCACACCCATGCAGATGGCAGCGATCTCGTCCTCATGCAACGGCTTCTTGTGCACCTCAATGATGTCCGAGGCGGAGCCGACGCAGTATTCCATGACCAGCCATGCTGTTGATTCGCGCAGGTAGCAGCCCTTGTACTCAATTGTATTCGGATTGTTCAATTGACGTAAGAAGCTGTTTGCGAGTCACGGAATACAGAATTGAATATATATATTTATTTATTCACATCGATATAAATTGCTGCACTGTATCGTACCGTATCTCCTTGAGTATGTCCTGCCACTTCTCCTGGCTCTGCTTGCCCGTATACGACATCTTCTTGATGGCCACAATCTCTTTGTTGAGATTGCAGCGGGCATAATAGACGGCACCGAACGAGCCATGGCCAATTTCTCGCAGATCCTCAAAGATCTTTTCCGGATCATGTTTGTAGAATAGATCGGCGATTTCCGGATCTTTGAGACTACCAGGACGTGCCGATGGCATCTCTGTTATTCATGTTATGCCCCCCTACCAGCACTCGCGCCCTCCCTCTCCCTCTACCACTCTGTCTCTCTCGTTCGCTTTCGCTCACTCGTCTCTTCACTCTATTCTCACTCTTTCGGCAGTCTCGAGCTGGAGATGTCAGCTTGTTGTTTGATTTTCCTTTGGGTCTGTTATGCTTCTTCTTCCTTTTGTTATTATTGCTGTTGTTGTTGTAGCTTGTCGATATCGCTGCTTAGTCAATGAACCGACAAGAATCTCCTTATGCTGCGCTCTGCAAACGAAAGTGTAATTGAAAGTTACATATTTGTGCACATGTGTGTATGAGCGTGTGCATAAAACTGCTTGTGTAAGCCCGTGAGCATGAGTATGTGCATGTCATGTCATGTGTTTGTGTGTGTGTGTGTGTTTGTCTGTGGCTGTGTATGTGTGTGATAAAAGGAGAATTTCATGTTTTTGGTGTCGCATTCAAATCGATCAAGTGATTCACACTACTCGATTACACACGCACACGCAGAAACACTCGCGCATACACACACACATTCACATTCATATCTCATTCGGTATTCCACAACACAAGCCGCTTATCAAAAATATGTGCGTTTTTTTATTGTTCTTCTTTGTTGCGTTCTTTTGGCACTATTTTCCCCAAAGCCGCGACTCAGTCTCTCAGAGCGGCGAATAACGGTGCAACATCATTCAGATACGCACATTTGAATGCCAAAGAGTCGTCGCATGATATTATGCTCTCAATGAAATCTGACGTTCCTATTGATGCGTGGCTTCAAAATATAAGTTCTAGAGTAGGCGTTAGGTGAAAATAGAGAGGGAGAGAGAGAGAAAGAGAGCGTACGGCACACGTGCATGTGTGCTACATGTTCATATGCATATATATATACATACATATGTATGCATGTGGCTCACTGTAATTCATAATGGGCATTGAAGTAATAGCGGTACTTATTTACTGCCCAGCTGCCGCATGCAGACGAAAAAAAAGGGTTGCAGCACTTGGCTTTTTTTTTCAGTGTTGTTGCAGTGAAAATCGTACGATTCGCTGAATGAACTTATCGTTAAACAGATTTTGCCATCATGCTAATTGTTAAAACTATGTATTTGATTTGTTTGGAATTTTGTTGTTTTTTTGTATATTTTTTTGTTTAAAAACGAAACGGCAACACGCCTATTTTTCATACACACGCAAACCCAGCCACACACAGGCAGCCATGTCTCGTTCGCACACACTCACATGTATATAAATAAGCGTATGCATGTGTGTTCGTGTGTGTGTGTCTGTGATGTCGGTTGTTTTGCATTCGCCCTGTCTTTTTGTCTCTCTTCACTCTTCATGCTGTGCGCCTTTCGAACTTAGCAGCACCGTTTAATTTAGCATTGTGTGTCGGTGCTTTTTAATTTAATTTGATGGCTTTTTTCTACTTGTGCCAGCCTGTTAACATTTCGTTAAATAATTTGATTTCATTTTTGTTTATTTGCTTCGATCTTATTTGAATTTTTCCTTTTTTTTTGGGTGCGGACAAACACATACAAAAAAGCAAATCGCACGACGCTGCGACGTCGTCATCGACAGAGACGATGTTTTTGTTGTTGTCACTTAACAGCGACAGCAACATCGCTTGCAATTTTAGTCAACCCTAAAAAAAAAACGATTTTTTTTTTTGCATAAATTTATAAATATAGTAAGACCCAATTTGGTCGTTAGGATAAAATTTAACAACCATAAATTGTTTTGCTTGCACATTGCACACATACAAATACACACTAACACTCGCACGCTTACACCGACAGCAGTTACATAGGCAACTATGGTGCGTGCTCTTTCTCGCTATGCGGCAGCGGAGCACTCACACTCACACCCGCACAAAAGGCACACACATATACGCAAATACACACACACACATACGTACAGCAGCCAACACGAATTGCATGAAAAAAAAATTATGATAAAACTATGGAAAATTGTGTTTTCTTTACATTTGTGCCGCTTACTTTTGCAATTCAAACACTTTTCGCTAATTATCAGCGCGGCTGCGGCATTTTTCTTCTGCATGCGTCGTTTTTCTTTCACGTCGGTTCGGCCTCTGATTCTACTGCTGTTTCTGCTGCTGCTTCTGTTGCTGCTGTCGCCAGCCTGCTGGTATTGTTTGCTTTGCTATATTTCGCCTTGCACTGCACACGCGTTGCGTTTTACATATCTACACAGGCAATGCATTCCGTTTCAATTATATCCCTCATATATTCACTTGCATTTGCTTGGCTTTTAACACTTAGTTTTCCCAATTTTCCTTCTTCAATTAATTTGTATAAGTTACGTATATACATAAATATATATATATATATATATATGTATTTATTAAGTGTTGGGCAATTTCGATTTGCAGATTTTATTTTGCAACCAGTTGGCAGCCCGCAACACCATTAAATACCAGCACAGCCGAAAATACCAAATTGGTATATTAGCGGGCATGTCATAGCAATAACATATGTTAGCCCCAGCTGTTGCCATAAGCCGTTGATTTCTTAAGTGTTTGAATTTTTGCGCTTTTATCGACAATGAAACGATCATAAAAATGTGTTGGAAGCTTTTTGAGCTTTAGGTTTGCCAATAAGTTATTTGTAAAGTACATATGGCTTTAGTATAAAAATATGATTAGTTCTTTGAAAGAGCTTTAATTTTGTGATAGAAGCTTAGCATTCTGATCTGTTCGATATCTGGGCTTTCCGCAGTGGCTATTTGCTGAGCTTTTTTGCAAATATTATTTATATATATAAGTACCTACATATATGTATGTTTTATGAATAACACAACTAAAGCACATCCATAAAAATAGCAACAACAAAGTTAATAACATAGTGGGAGAGTATGCCTCATTCTTACTTACACACGTGTACAATCTCGTACATATGTATGTACATGAATACATACACACACGTACAGGCGGAGAGAATGTTAAAAGTGAGCGCCACAGAAATGATGGCGATATGGAGAGCAGAAGAAGATAGACACGTAGCAAACAACAAAAGCGTCGCCGTCGATGTGGTTGCTGTCGGCGCAAGGTAGATTGTGGCCCCCAATCATTTTTTTAGTATTTAAAGAACAGTCGGGCAAGCAAGTCAAAAGCCGCTGCGAGAGCGACAGCCAGAGCCACAGCGAATAAGGCAAACATTTAAAAAGTAAATACGGGCGATATACACATATTTATATTTATACACATATTTGTACACATGTATGCATGTGTGTACATGTATGTAATCAAAGTGTGTGCGTGAGTGTAAAGAAAGCGTATGAATCGTACAATTGTCAAAAATTCGCATTAAATCAGCAGCTAAGTTGCATTTGTCATCAGGAGTTTTTGTTTTGTGCTCTTTATTCTTTCCCCCTTTTCTTTTCTTCTTTTTTTTTGTTGTTTTATATGTGAGCCAATTGTTGCTGCCGCCCTGTGAGCGTTGTCTGTGTATATATGTGTGTGTTAGCTATTTGTTGCTACGCACGAAGAAATGCTAAAGATAAAAACATGATAAAGCCGAATGTGCGTGAAAAAGTAACAATTAATAAGAACCAATCATGTAAACAAGAGCAGTTGCAGCTTTCTACGTGTGTAAACATACATATGTATATGTATTTAAGTACTATAAATGTGTGCGTGTGCCCTAAATAAATTAATATGCGCGCACAAATGAACATTAGTAAATGCGTGCATACACTCGCACATACGCACATGCATGCATATGTATGTTAATATGCAAATGTATGTAGACTGTTGGCGCAGCGAACGCGCGCGCGCATCATTGTGCGCCGCCCTGCGCGCGCGCGCTTCTTTCTATCTCTCTTTTACTTTTGCCCATGCTGCGCTGGCGATCGTTGCTCCAAATTCGGTAGCTGCACCACTGTATGGGGGACAATTAACCAGTCCCTGGGGCTTATTTTGCCTGCAGCTGTTTTCAATTGACGATTCCCATTGTTCTGCGCATATTTGACAGCAATCATATTGTACAATTAATATGAAAATATGCCGCCAGCAACAGAACGTGCTCACTGCCCTTTCTGTGGTTGCGGCTGCTGGGCTTGTTATTGCTGCAGCATTGCTGGAGCTTCCCATACACGCACACACACACACACACACACAACACATGCAGCAGCATGCATATGTACATTTCGATAGTCGTTTATGCTTATCGAACACTTACTTGGCTTAAAGATGAGCTGCGCGAAGTATGCACGTTTCGATAAACGATTATACGAAATTTGATATGCATTATCCCCAAAACGTTATCCGTTTGCATTTCGCATGTGTACATATATGCATGTGAATTGCAGTTGTATGCGTGCCTGTATTTATTGGCATATTAAATAGTTGCAACAATTTGTTAACCATAAATGGCAATAGTCCAGTCAATAAACCCCGCTGCCCACATAGCACAAAAAATGTTTTGTTGTTGTTTGGTATTTCGTTTTGTTTTGATTTTTTTGATTGTTGTTGTTGTTGTTATATTGTTATTGTTGCAGCAGCGATCGATCGCTAACTAAATGCCATAAGTGGCAGTCATTATGTATCAATATACAAACTTATACATATACATGCATGCATACATACATACATATGTATATTGGAAGTGTTCGCACATTTCTATATTTGTACAAAAAGCGATATATACATGCCTATTAGATTAATATTTTGTGCGTACACTTAACGAAAAGCTATTGTAAATTCTGTAATAGATTTTGTAACATTTTAAAATAGGTTAATTGAGCATAAATTGGTTTCTTTTATAAAGTATAATTCATTTTTATATTCAGTAATTTTTTTTTTTTTTTTTTTTTTTTTTTTTTTTTTTTTTTTTTTTTTTTTT